GCTCCCCCCCCCCCCCCATCCTCCCACCCCTCCACCAGCACAGAATGCCTCTGTGTTTGTTTGTGGAGAGGATGTGTACCTCCTGCCACCCTCCACACCAACCCTCAACACCACGTGGCAGCACCCGGGCCACCATAGGTGAAGGAGATGTTACAGCCAGGACATGAGACGTGTGCGGGGACATGCTGGAAGGGGCAACTCCCTGTTGCTGGTCCCAGGCATCACAGTCCAGCAGCTCCCTCCATCTCACCTTGAGCTTTCACATCGTCTACCACAGGGCAGGGGGTCTTGACCGTCACATCACTGGACCTGGAGCGTCTTCCTGTGTTATCAACTCCCCAGAGCGTGAACCTGGCCGAGAAGGAAAAAGGTGAAGCTCTGGACTCCCAAGACCTCATGGAAACACAGGCAGCATCAGGCAGGAGCAACACAGTCAGGGCGACAGCACTGCCACAGGCATGGCACGGGGGAGGCAACTCACATGTAGGTGGTGTCAGGCTCCAGGCAGCGAACAATGAGGGATATGGTGGAGGAGAGCCTGTCAGGCACTTGGGCTGGCATGGCGCAGGGTGACTTGGCGCCAGAGATGATGTCGTCCATGAAGCTCAGCACCGTCTCTAGGGAGAGAGGGGAGGACATGCCACGGGTGATGACACAGGTGTCCCCAGGGCTGTGGAGAGCCACTGAGGTCTGTGCCCACTACCACGCTGCCTGGTACCAAGGGGGACCAAGGCTTATGCATGAGGTGGGTGCAGAGATGGACCCATTGCTTTTCCAGCAAGGCTCATCACCATGGCATGGAGCTGCCACTTCTGCAGCATGGTGGGCAGTAGAGGGCCTGCTTTCTCTTCCACAGGATACTGGATATGTTGTAGCATCCCCTTGCAAGGAGGGAGACAGAGGCTCTGCTCCAACATCTCCATCCCACCCTCCCCAGAGAGAACCAATGGAGTCCCCACTCACCTGTCTCCACCTTGGAGTGGTCCATTCTGTCGGTGACTTTCTCTTGACGGAGGAGGTAGTCAACGATCTGCACCCCGATGGGGGGCTCCGAGTGTCCCCACTCTAGCACCACCAATGTGCTGCTGGGCTCGTGAACGGTGGAGAGCCGCAGGCTGGGGGGCAATGCCGGCTGGTCAGCATCTTGGGAGGGCAAGGTCTGCCAGCTGACCCCACCACCCACCTGTGCTTATCCCCACCCATGTCTATCACTGCCTTACTGCTCCTCTGTGCCTTAAAAAGGCAGCAAAACCACCAGGCTGAGGCACACGGTATGTGAGAGATGCTGAGGACCACCTCTCCAGCCAGTCCCCATGGCTGGTGCAAAAGGCAGCATGAGTGTGTTTGCTAGTGTCACCCACTCTGCTGTGCAGACCACACACAAATGCACCAGAAATGAGTTGGGTTTTGTAAGGTAGGATGTAGGGACTGGTTTTGCATCACTTTCTCACAGCAAAAGGGCTTCAAAGCCGTTAACGCATGGGAGAGAGCAAGCTCAGGAGAGAATTGACTCCCCCTTTCCTACCCCTCCTGGCTCTGGGCACGCTGGTCCAAAGGGCTCCTTTCCTGGGGTTGCTCTACTAGGATGGATCCAAAACCAGCTCCCCAGTCCTCAGCTGAATTTAGAAGAGACACTGCATCTCTGCACCCTTGGCCTGATTTCCAGGTCCCCCATTCGCTTGCAAATCTGTCCCATAAAGCCACCCCAGCCTCACCACTCTTGCCACCACGCCATTGGCCATCACGGCCTCCCCCCAGACCCATCACACCAAAAGGCCAGGCTGGGCATGCATGGAGACCTACATAGGGTGTGGGAGAGGTGCGCAGGTGGGCAGCCCATCAGCCCCGAAGGCACTCGAGTCGCAGCGGCACCAGTCCTCAATGACATCCCCGCTGCCCGAGCACCACAGCGAGCTCATGGTGGCCTCCTGCAAGAGCTGGGAGAGAGGGGAAGGGGGTGAGCACTGGGCAGGTGAGCTCCCATCCCACCACCACTTGAATCAGTGTTCATCCATCCCCCGGTGGGTTTCAGCATGTCCATCCACCCTGGAGAGCAGGGCTGGCCAACGGACAAGGGCTGCCATGGCTTGACATGATGCTACCAGGGCAAGCTGCCTGCAAAGACTACCCTGATGCTGTCCTGCCACCCCCCATGCCCACTCCACCACCCCCAGCCAGTGGCTTCTCACCCGCTGGGTCTGGTTGTTGGTGACCAGCTCGTAGATGGGGGCCGCTTTGGTGACCTCCAGCAGGATGGGCTCAGCCGGCACTTCGGGACTGTAGGCGACATGGCAGAGAGGGCAGGAAGAGGGGCAGCGCCCGCGGCTCTGGCACTCCATCCGCACGCCGGCTGCCATGCGCTTGGTGCCTGACTCGGAGAGGCTGGCGATGTACTCGGGGAAGGTGAGAACCTTGGGGTCCTGCTCACGCTCCTCTGACTCGTCCGAGGGGGAGTTGCCTGGGGAAGGGGGAAAAGAGGGGCACCAGGGTGGGCTCCGAGCCATCGTTAAGGGGATGCCAGGGGGCTAGAGCCCTGCTTTCCACCCAGGAGAGAGGCAGTGCTGCCCAGAGACCCCCCTATATCCTTAAGAGATCCCTGTTTGCTCTGTAGGGATGAAATGCTCACTGGTCTTCAGAGGAGGAATCAGGACTGAAAAGTCCACCCTGGCCTTTACCATTGCAGGTTATTTTGTCTCCCCATGCCTCAGTTTCCCCAGCCCCAGCCCTTTGCCTGGCACTGGGACAGACCACCCTTGCAGCAGGTCCCCACGAGAGGGAGCCTCCTTCATGTGGCTGGAGACTCATGAAGGACCTGCCTGGGCACCTTCACCCCACACTGATGCCCTGCCAAAGCCCCCTGCCAAACCACTCCGTTGCAAAAGCCCTCCTGGCCCAACAGCTGATTTCTTTGCTCAACTCCCTCGGTTCCCAAGGACCCCCATCAAAGGTGATGTGACAGAGCATGTTGGACATCAGAGAGGATGAATGTCAGACCAGGGTGCACAGCAACGATGCCGATTCAGTGCTCCCCCCTGCCCCCCGCCCCCAAAGGTCTGCAGCCAACAGCACCAAAGAGCTCAGAATGAGCAGGGAAGACTTCCTAGTGCCTCATGATGCCCAGAAAGCTACCGAGATGACTACAAATCCACCGAGGTCCTCTCCAGCCCCTCCACCCCTCCCGCACTCGCTCCCCATGGAGGGGAAGGGAGATGGGGAGCAGTTCCCTTTTGGGAGCTGGCTCAAGCCAGACTCCTCCCGTCTCTTTGCACTGTCATGGGGCATGATGGAGGTGGGCAAAGTTGCAGCTAGGCAAGGAAATAGAGTCTCTCCCTAAGGGCTTAGCTTACAAAGCACCATCATGAAGCAAAAGAAAATGGTGAGGTGGAAGCAGATATGTTTATCGGGACAGCAGACCCCCAGCCAGACTGTGACAAGACTGAAGGCTTGTTTACCCTCTGCCCTGTGCACACAGGGGAATATCTGCAGGTCCTACCCTGCCAACCCTCAGGCAACCCTGCAGCCCAACAGGCTCAGAAAAAAGATTTGCAGCAGGAAAACATCTCCATGGTCTACACTTTTCCCAGCTCCATGCAAAGGTGCCTGATGCTGGGTGCCACTGTGGCCCTGCCACACGAGGCAGTGAGCCAGACCCTGTGCTTGGTGGGCTTTTCTCCAGTGCTCCCATAGCAGGAAATATTTTGACACAAGGGGAAAAGTCCTGGCACAGCAGTCAAGAAGGTAGGATCTGCCCATCACTGCTGTGCCTTGGCTAGCATCGCCCCACTGCTGCAAGCCTTGCTGTGCAGGGGAACGGTGCTTTTCACCCAAAATCCCTGCCAAAGGATGTCCCCAGCTCTACACCAAAGAAAGAGGGGCCCAGAGGGACAACTGATGGTGGTTCATGGGGTCGGAAGAAGCCAAAGGATGCCCAGGCAAAGCCTCGCCCCTGGGGCAGGCTCAGGGCATCACTGGCAGTGGCTTGGTACGGGCTGGCTGCTGCGGGGAGCTGCCGGAGAGCACATCCATGGCTCAATAGGAAGATCTTCCTATTGCAAGGGTTTGCTGAGAAATGGGCCAGTGCTAGCCTATCCTCAAGAATCCTGCAAAGAAAACAAGGCTGTTAAACAAAACCCAGGGTACAAGAGCATTGCTCCGCTCCCCCAGCAAGCTGGAAATGGATCGCTTTGGGCTGGCTGTGAATTGCAGCTTAGCAGGCGCCGAGGAAAAGCAGAGGAGCCAGGGAATTGTTTGTCTCTTGCAATTTCTCAATCAATATCCAACTCCTGACGTTTGCAAACAAAAAGCAAAGGAGGGAAAGTGGCAGGTGCCAGAGCAAAACCGAAATGTGATATTGTGGGTGGAAAAAGACTGCCAGACCTGAAAAGCCTCCAAGCAGGAAAATCAAAGAGGAGGAAATTGCAGGAGGAAAAAAAATGTACTTGCAATCAAAAGATGCTACATCTGGAGACAGCCCACAGCAAAACAGCAATGGGTCTGTACTTTCGCAGGTGGGCTTGGGAAGAAGTCCAGGCTCCAGGAGGTCTGAGTCCACAGGATCCAGACTCAGGGTCAGAAAGAAGCCTTTCCCACACAAGAGCCCTGGAGAGAAAACAAATGTCTCTGCGGCTGGGGCATAGCCAGAGCAACACCGTAGGCTGGTGCCAATACTGAGAATTATGAAGCTTCATGATGGAAACGATGTGGCGGTCACGGTGCCTGTGAGCTCCAAGCTCACGCTGCCTGCACCTACGAGCTTCTGGGCAAGCCTGGGTGGTGCAACCCAACGTCCCCAGCACAGGCAGCAAAATGCCTGCAGGCAGCTTTGCAAAGGCCAGCACAAGAGGAGATGCTGTGGTCCTGGTGACAGCTGGCAGCAGGCAGGCGTTAGGCTCCCTCTGCTTTTGGAAAGCTCGTGTCCAAACCAGCCATTGCCCATCTCCAAAACCTCTTCCACAGGGGAGCCATCACACCTCGCTGCAGCGAAGGCTCCAGAGGGGATGCAGCAGTGCCGGATGCCCTCTGCACCATGGTGAACCTCCCAGTTCATAACTGGGCTCCAGACATTAAAAGCACAGCGCTGACAGCCTGGGAGAATAAAGCATATTAGAGGGAGAAAAGTCTGGCCATGGGATGCCAGTGGAAGAGAGCAGATATGGAGGAGACAAAAGGAAGGAACAGGATTAAAGACAAATAACAGTTAAGTCCAGAATCAGGCAGGACGGTTTGGTGGGATTAGTGCATTCATCTTTCATTTCCCTGGGGATGTGGGTATTTATCTTCCTTTCTGGCCTGGACTAACGCCTGCTGCAGTCCACAGGAGTCCTTCAGCTGGCTTCAAAGGGTGTGAGAGTGGGGTGCAAATAAAAGGACGAGATGGGATGCAGCCCCGACACAGGCTAAGCACTTTCCCTGCTATGCCAAAAGCAAACCCAGCTTCCCATTCCCATGGGGTGGCTTTGGGGACCCTTCCTGGGGACAAGCGGGGCTCCTACCTTTGCTGATGTCCTCGTACTCTAGCCAGAGCTGCCGCTGCACCTGCCTGTTGGGATACCAGATGGAGCAGGACTCCTCAAAGCCATACACTGCTTCTTGGATGTAGTGGTTGCCAAACTGGTCCAGCAGCGCCACAAAATCTCCACGGGAGGTGGCCCCGTCCAGAGAGTGGAGTGCGTTGCTGAAGGCTGGAGAGGAGACAGGAGAAGATGCTCAAATCCCAGGGGACCCGAAGCCCTTGCCACCCCTCCAACATGGTTGCGATGGGCAACCAACCTCTAAGCCCATCACCTGCCAGAAGAAGGCTGTGTGTCCTCTCACCACCCCTTTTTCCCTTCTTCCCCCCAGCCCTGCACGCTTACACTGGGAGATGGTCAGCTGGTTGAGCCGGACGTGGTACATGACGGACTGTACCTTCCAATGCTGCAAGAGGGGGTACCCGGACACCTCGCTGAAGTTCACCATCCCTGCCAGAGAAAGGACATGGGGGCTCAGCACCACTGCCCAGGGATGCCTTGCCATGGGGATGGCTGCAGCCCCTCGTGCCATGTGGGGGGCAATACAGCCAATGGGGTGGGAAGAAGCCGGGGGGAAAGGACCATGCACACACCACATCCCCCGGGGGAGGCAGCAAGGCATTCAGAGCTGAGGGTCAGCTGCTCCCCAGCAATTAAAATGATGGCTTTGAAGGAAAACACATGGGCTTGTTTCATCCTGCCATCCGGGGCTGTGCATTGGAAGATAATGAGCCGCCTCCTCCTGCATCCCCTTCTGCTTCTTTCCCGGAGCCTGCTCCCAAGATATGCCCAGGTGTGCTAATTATTTCACTAATGAGAGCTGCACTTTTTAATGAGTGGGTTGCAGGCCTGAGAACAGTCACCTTCATGCCACGTGTGCCTGAGTGCAGCCAACTGAGGGGCCCTGGGGTCCCCTTTGGCCAGGACTGAGCTGACTGGGACACACATGTATGGGGGAAATCACACACCTGCTGATGTTCCTGTTCCCTCGGGACGTTATGGCAACGCTGGAGCTGAGCAGGACCTGGGGTTTCTCCCTCTTCAGGCAAAGACATCCCATTCTCCAGCCATTTAACTGTGCATTACAGGAGCCAGAAATTCATGGAGACCAGGGCTGGGTGGCCACTTTGTCCTGCCCAAGGCATGAGCCAAGGCATGTAGCAGCTCAGCTGCCATGAACAGAGGGACAGAGAGGCCACCAAGCCTGGCCAAAGCCCCAGAAAGTCAATTGAAGGGTGCTCATGGCTCTGATTTTGGTGACCAGAGCATCCCATGATGTGCTGCAGCAGGATGCCGGGGCATGGCCACCTCCTCCCTTGCAGCTCTGCTGCTGTACAGCCAACACAGCATGCCTCTGCTTGGCAGGGAAGCAGCAAACTCTGCTGCTAAACAGCCACACAGCAGGATTTCAGGAGGATAACAATGGGCATCCCCCGCTCCATAACAAGAAATGAAGGCGGAGGATAAGATCTTTTGCCTTCCAGTGCCCTTCCTTTCGGTGCTGGCTGCTACCAACAGCTTCAGAGCCTTGCTCTTCCCTGCAAAGTGTTTATGCAAAAACAGTCCTTCCTTACTCAGCAGCTCTGCCTCTCATCTATTCACAGCAATATCCAGATCTGCTTACTGACAAGCAGAGAAGATTTTACTTCTTTTCCTTTTTTTTCTTTTTTTTGCCTTAATCAGCCACAAAGAGCCAGCAGAGCAGTGGGAAATGAATAGGATAATTTACTGGCTTCTGTCTCCCTGGCATAATTGCCAGTAGAGTCCCAGTCCCACCGACCCTGCTGTGATGCTGAGGCCACAGTGGCAGTGCCTTCCTTACATCCATGCAACCATGTCAAGGGCAGCAGAGCCCCTTCAGGAGGCAGATGTCCTCCAGCATCTCCAGGCAGGGCTGAGCATCCCTATGGCTGGAGGGGTGACCTGCCAACACAGCTCTCTTGGGGTAGCTCAGCCCTGCCAGGACCCGCCAGCACCCTCCTCCCTGCCTGCATCTGCCTGCACACACACCTACATTGCCATGCACCCTGTCAGGGCAACCAGCACCCATCGGACCCTGGGTGCAGCTCACGGGTGCTCCGCAAAACCCTCCTGGGAGCTCTGCCGAACAAAGCGAATGCACAAAGTCTCATATGAGACCACCCTGCAGACACCTTCCAAAACACCTTACTATCCACATCCCTCATTTAGTAGCTGCCCGGTGTCCTTGGCCATTTCAGCCAACAGCAACAAGCACCAAGGAAACAAAGGCTATTTAGGGGTGCTGGCAACTTGGTGGAAGAAAGGTAAATCCTTGAAGGTTGTCTAGGAATCCATGATAACCCTATCGCTCGTGGCCCATGATGCTCTGGCAGGACAAACTGAAACATTTTGGTTTGGTTGCAGCAGGTTTTGAATGCTTCATTACGCGGCCAAAGGGTTTCTGATTTAGAAATCAAATGAAGGGTATTTGGAAAACTTTTTTGCCTTGAATAAAAAAAAAATCCTTTTTTGCAAATACCCCAAATATCCCATGGACGCTTGAGCTTTTATGCCACACAATTAATTTACAGCCTCTCCCTTTCCCTTTTTAATGCCTTTCTTTTACCACTGCTGCTGCTGCAGGTGAGTGCAGGATGCTAAAGTCAGACTAGACATATCCCACGGTAGATATATCCCCTGGGAGGGATAGGTGCTGAAGCTGGGCACGCCAGCAGCTGCCCCATTGGGAGAGGTGTGGGTCCGTCTGGACTCACTCACCGGTGAGGAACTCAGGGTCGGGCGTGGGGTCGGAGAGCTCCTCTTGGCACTGGTTCTCCAGGGGCACCGTGGCCACCACCAGCCCATCTGGCAGCTGCTGCTCCAGGCCCCGGGCAAAGTTGTTCTGCCTGGAAGTTAATTGCAGAGAGGAGGGCAGGGCTGGAGGACAGGGGAACTGCCTGGGATCATCCTCCACCAGCTGGTGACCCATCCCAAAAAGCCATCCAGCACCAAGCCTTTCCTTTGGGCACAGGTTACAAAGATGTCTGCTCTCGATGGAAAACTTTAGATGTGCCCTCCTCACCACCCCCTCCAACTCCTGCAAAGCTTGGCCAGATGTGGATGGACCAGGCAGTTTGCTAAGGTCCAGCCCCAGGCGGCTTCCCATGCCGCCTTCTTGGAGAGGATGGCGAGGTCTGACCCTGCTGGGGTCACCTCCCCACGTCCCCAACTCACCTGAACGTCCCTTTGAGCACCTGCCCTGTGGCCACCTCCTTGGAGTGGTTGTTATAACCATAGAAGAGCTCCCCAAATAGTGTCTGGTTCATGGGCAGCTCGCGGGGCTCACCGCAGTCCCCCACCTCGGGGCATGACTCCGAGATGAGCTGGCACGACCGCCCATCCGTGCCCAGCTTGTAGTCCTCGATGCACCTGGTAAGCCAGCACAGGGTCCACCATGAGATGCAGCCCCCACTGGTGAGGACTGGGGCCACCAGGCCACCCCAGCAGGGACACTGGGAACAGAGGAGACCCTCCCTCCCAACCCTACGAGCTCAGGGTGGCAGCGGCAAGGTACAGCAGCACCTTGGGGGTGTCTCCGTGGCCGGGGCGGTGATGGGTTGCTCACCCGCAGAACATGAGGATGTTGTAGAGCAGTGGCTCCTCAGGTAGGGGGACCATCTGCTGCAGGCACAGCTGCTCACAGCCCCCGTTGAAGCCATCCGAGCAGTCCACGCCAACGTGACGGTCATAGCAGCCTGTGCCATCCTTCATGGGGCTCAGTCCTGTTGGGCACTGGCAGGGGTGGGGGAAGCAAGAGGTGAAGACCCCAAGGAAGAAATCTGGCCCAGAGCTGAGGTGGAGGGGAGGGCTCCAGCGCTGCTTTCCATTGGAAATCACAGCCTGAGCAATGCTTGGGGGCTGCGGGATGGACAGTGGCAACACCGCCCATGGCTGCAGATATTCCTCCTGCACCAAAGCTTCTTTGCAGCCTGGGGAGTGCATCCCCTGGGGTGGGAGCCCCCCAAGCCGCCCCCACCAAGGTAATGTGCTGGCATCAACCCCACTGACCAGCACCCAGCTCCGGTGACTGCCAAAGCAATGCTGCCCTTTCCAAACCCACCGTCTGCCTCATGCTCACAGCCTCTGCACACCGATGTCCACCTCTGGTGGCATCACAGCAGGATGCCCCAGCCTCCATTTCGGGGCACACGCTTTCCCTGCACAGCAAAGCAGGTGCGGTGGTGACAGGGGACATGCGTGAGTGATGTGGGACCTCCCTGAGAGCCAGCAAGCAGATGGGCTCTCACTCCCTTGTGCATACATGCAGCAAGGGCAGGGACGGAGGAGATGCCAGCCCGAAAACATCTCTTCCCGCTGCAAAACCAACCCCAAAATATCCATCCCGAGGCAATGGGAAGGGAGGAAGGATGCAGCCCTCCCCCTTCCACCCTCCCCCTCCTTGCTCACACCGAAGGAGATTTGCAGGTCCCCGGGGGGCCACGCACCACGCAGCCCGTCGAGTCCAGCTTGCGGTCCGAGATGCAGCGGAAGTTCTTGCTGCAGCCTCCGTTGTCCCGGGAGCAGTCACGGACAGGGCCAAAGGAGTCAAGGAGGACCTCCAGGCTGTCGAAGGAGGAGGAGGTCATCAGCTCTTCCCTGTGAAGAGGAGGAGGAGGAGGTGTGTCACTGCTCTGATGAGACATTGTGAACGCGTGCACGACCGTGGCTGCTGCATGGGTTTTTCCAAAGCTCAGGTTTCATGCAGCAAGCAGGGACGGAGGAGATGCCAGCCCGAAAACATCTCTTCCCGCTGCAAAACCAACCCCAAAATATCCATCCCGAGGCAATGGGAAGGGAGGAAGGATGCAGCCCTCCCCCTTCCACCCTCCCCCTCCTTGCTCACACCGAAGGAGATTTGCAGGTCCCCGGGGGGCCACGCACCACGCAGCCCGTCGAGTCCAGCTTGCGGTCCGAGATGCAGCGGAAGTTCTTGCTGCAGCCTCCGTTGTCCCGGGAGCAGTCACGGACAGGGCCAAAGGAGTCAAGGAGGACCTCCAGGCTGTCGAAGGAGGAGGAGGTCATCAGCTCTTCCCTGTGAAGAGGAGGAGGAGGAGGTGTGTCACTGCTCTGATGAGACATTGTGAACGCGTGCACGACCGTGGCTGCTGCATGGGTTTTTCCAAAGCTCAGGTTTCCCTCGGGCTGACAGCAGACTGAACAACAGCCAAGCTTTTAGAGGGATGCAGGAGCTACTGAGATGATGAGAGCTACCTCCGAAGGCTCAGCTTTGCAGGCACTAACGTGGGGCAGGTTAATGGATGTACTAATCTCCATCTGCAAAATGTGGGGTGGGGGTCCCAGCTTTCATCAACTCCCATGTGCTTTGGGTTGGTCCTCTCGCTCTAGGGACGCATCACCAGTTTATTTGCTGAAACGCCTCCTAAATGCCCTAGCCCCACCGTCGCACCTACCTGACCTCCACCGCGTCCTCCATCACCGTCATATCGGTCTTGCACTTGGCCGAGGGGTTGATGGCCAGCTCAGCTGGTGGGATAACGAAGCTCTTACTCAATGGCAGCCACATGCCTTCCCCCAGGGTGTAGGTGAACCTGCCAGGGACAGCAGCAAAGGCTGGTATGGAGGGAAACACTGAGCGCACAGGACTGCCTCTATGCAAAACCATGCCCTTGAACCTCCCCCCTGCCCTGCAGGGATGCCAGCCCAAGCAAAGGCAGATGGGCAGGGTAAAGTGGGGTAGCTCCTCCCAAATGATCCCAAAAAGCACACGTAATTTAAGTAATTAAAAAAAAAAAAGACAGACACTTCTCTTTTTGGTAGAAATCCTCCTTCAGAGCCTAAACTTCACTCTCATCATGGATGGAGAGGAGGAACTGGTTGCTGGGCATCCAGCAGCCCACATGGCAGCTGTGGTAGGACCTTCCCAGCCATGCTTGCATGTCCCCAGGAGGTGGCACAGGACAGCCGTGCTCAGCCCTGCCAGCTGGGGGACCAGCCTGCCCGGACATCCTGAGTCATATTTTTGAGGCCCAAAATGTGCTGACCAGGTTGCCTTTACCACTTACCGAAAAATCTTGTCAGATGGCTGCTCGCCCAGCACCAAGTCAAAGCCGCGCTGGAAGATGGTGTACGGCCAAGGCCTGGAAGAGAAACCCAGGAGCATCATGCCAGCATCATACCCCCCATCGCCCCTCACAGTCCAAAACGCTTCCCTCACTTAGCCCCTAGCTCATGTGCAGAGGGGTCCTGGGTTGAGTCAGCTCAAACCAAGCCAGGACAAGGTGATAAAATAGCCCGACATCCAAGATCTTAATTTCGGGGTTCCTACAACATCAGCTACTCACCCCAGCCCCAACCCGCCAACGGGTCGGTGGCGTATCACATCCTTCATTTTGGGGTACAGCACGCTCCCATGTCCCCCACCCACCCGGCATCCATGAGCCTCACGCTTCTACATGCTCAGGTACCACCCGCCCAGCTCCCATTTTAGGGATTTGCATCACAGCCATCAAACTGCAAAAAAAAACCACCCAAAGAGCAGCTGAACCCTCTCTCTGTGAGGTTTTTGCAAGGGAACATGTCTCGTCCAGGACCGCAGCTTCACCACCTGCCTTATTCCCCTTGGGCTTCATTGCTTCAGGAGGGGAACTGAAGAAGCCTCAGCCCCCCATGAGACTTTGCAAAGGGGTCTGGAAGACAAGCTGGAAGTTTGGAGCCAAGCAGGAGGCTGGAGAGCTTATGGCCCCACCTCCTCCATCCCTGCTGCCCTAGATAGCACAGGGTGATGTGCAACCATGACTTGGTGGCCGGTGCCCTTCAGTGGGACACCCGTGGTTGTGACACCTCAGGACGTGCATCCCCCGCAACACAGCCCTGCTGGCAGAGCATCACTTGCAGAGTGAGGCTGACAAGGCAGAGCAAGGGGAGGCACAGAGAACCAACTGTGGTGGGCTTTGAATCAGGCAACACGAACTCCACTCCCAAACCCTAAAGCTCCAAATCCCCTTTGCAAGAGCTCAGAGCTGGGGAAAGAAAGAGATTTTCCAACCCATCGCATTGCTGCTGTTAAAATTCAGGATGAGAGCATTGGGTGCCGCCGACAAGCACGGGGATTTTCTCCCGAGGTAATTACAGCTCTCCTTCACAAGCACTTTAATTTCTAATCTGAAGTTATTTTGGCAGGGACAAATAAAAAATAATAAAAAATAAAAAAAAATCCTGATTGCAGGATTACAGCGCGCCGTCTCATTTTCTTGCTGGGATACAATGCCACTTTCCCGTCCAGTTGGCTGGGAGCAGGGGATTACATTCAGCCTGCAGACCAGATTGCCCTGAATAAGGTCAGCTTTGGCTGGAAAGCAATGTGCTCCTTGCTTCTTGACGATGCCTTGAATGCTTCGTGCCTCCGCCTTCCAGTGCTCCCGCAGATGGGTTTTATTCTTGCTTCTCAGGAGCACACCGGGCAGGGAACAAAAGCAGAGGCAAGGTATTGTTCCCCATTGACTCAGGTGGAAAAGCGGTTGTGAAGAGCCGCTCTTGGCTTGCAGTGGAGCTCAGCCCCGGGGCAGGCGCTGCGGAGGCGCGGTGGCTGCCGGACCTCTGCCACATGGCACATCTGGCAGCCCATGGATGCCGACACATCTGGGACACACAGCCAGTGGATTTGGACCTGCCTGGGAGATGGAAATCAGTGCCCAGGCCAAAATTTGTATGATGATGACTTTGAGCTGGGGAAGAGGTTTCCATGCTCCAGGAAGGGACCGTGTGGCATCTCCCCAGCCTGACTTACTTTGCCTCTACTCGGGGTCAAAAAAGGCCTGTTAAAAGGAAGGTTCAGCCTTTAGCTATGTGCCTATGCGGCAGGGGACAACCAATGCTGCCAGGCACCATTGAGTCTGCAAGGACGCAGTACCTTCTGCAGGGAAGCCCTGCGACGGTCTCCATACAAGACCTCCAGCTCAACAAGAGACACTTATCCATCCTCATCTCTGAGGAAGCTCTCCAGGAGCTCAGCGCCGACATTTCCACCCATGCACCCTTGCTGACTCATGCCTTCTGCTGCAGAGGACGGGGCGAGATCTCCTCCCCCAGGCACACCTCACCTCCTCTGTTGCTGCCTTTTGCCCCCTGTGCCTCTGCTGCTGTTTCACCCCCTCCTTCCTCTCCTGTGCACATGTGCCTCCGCAGCTGTCTCCCTCCTCGCTTTCTGTGATCACTGGAGGTGCCTCACTGCTCTGGTTTTTGTTGCTCTTGGCAGGTATTTTGGTTGCATGGTCTTCAGAGCTCACAAAGGAAAGTGGGACTGATCAGAAGCAGCCCTGCGCCTGATTGGGTTGGATTAAATGGGCCAGAAATGACAGCTCTTAGCTCCCTGCAAGCCTTGGCCCTCAGGTAGGCATCTGAAACAACACAATGGGGGAATCACCAGGGCAGCTGAGAACCAGCAAACTCCCCACACACAGTCAGCAAGTTCCCACTGCCAAAGCGCTGCCAATGCACCCCCAGGACAATCTTCAGGCCTCTTTGCTTTTTCCAGCTGGACCATCAGCTACGCTTTGCTCCAGATCTGGGCTTGAGCAGAAGCTCCCAAAATACCTGCTAAGCCCTCCAGATCTGGTGCTGCTGGTGATGCTCTGACCCACCTCAACAGGACCCCGGCCATACTCGAATTGCAGCCCCAAGGGGACGAGGCCAGACTGACTTCCAGCGTCAAGAACTGTGCTCCTGCCAGTCCTTGCTCCCTGCAAAGCTCTTCTAGACAAGATGGGTGGGATAAGGAATCAAAGCCTGGTGCCTGCAGGATGCTACCGCGATGAGGTAACCCAGAGAAGCTGGTTTGAGGGGAGCTGGCAGGGAGGTCAGAGGGGCTGCGGGAGGGGGTCTTTGCAGAAGGCACTGAGAAGTCGCTGCACGTGAGCGTGGCTGAAATGCCACTGGAGGAGAAGGTGGTCAGCTGTTACGCACTGAAATAGGTGACTTCACGTCTGGTTCCCTGACCCCCTGTGCTCCTGGGGGTTTCCACCCAGCAAGCGGCATGAGGACAGCCATGCCAAACCCATAATGGCATCAAAGCACCAGCTCCAAGTGCGTGCTGGGAGCGAGCGGCGCAGACAAAGGCACTCACCACATTCCTTCACTGGTGGCTCAGGAGTTCAAGCCCAGGGTGAACAGACCAGAAGCATCCCCACAGTGCCTGCAACCCTCCTGCAGCCCCAGGACCCACTCCTCACGATGACCAAAGTGGGGACCCATGAAGACCCGACACCACCCTGATGGGGGGTGAGCAGAGAGCAGATGTGACACGAGCACTGAGCTGCCGACTTCTTCCACCAGCGATGCCCATCCTGGCTCCTCCCTGACTTTGCTTTGCTTTGCAATGGCTTTGCTCGGGCTTCAGCTGCTAATGCCTCTCCCCTTCCCACCTCCCCGCCCCCTGCCATCCCTTCCAAGCAGCTCTTTATTAAAAATGCTAATGCCGGCACTTTCTCCCTGGGCTGCGCGTAAATCCGCGAGGAGGATGGGGCGGGAGGAGGAGGCGGATGGGTGGTTTGGTGAAAGGATCTGAAAGAAAAAGGAGCTTTTTATCTGGCCATCCTTCAAGCTCCCAAAGCCGAGGCGTACAGCAGGGGATGGAGAGAGGCAGAGGGGAAAAAAAAAGATAGAAAAAGAAGAAAAGGAAAAGAAAGGGGGGGGGGGGGGAAGAGAAAAAGAGAAAAAAAAAGACTTTAAGCAGGAAAAGTGCTGTCCTTGTCACTTCAGCATGTCACCAGCTCCTCTGTGGGGTGGGGAGTGGATGGTGAATGGGGGTGGGACAGAAGGAGCAGGTGCAGGGCCAGGGAGGGGGATAACCATGTGCAGAAGAGAAGAGGCACCGCGGGGAGGGGAGGTGGGTGAGCAGGGCATGGGCTGTTGCACTAATTCAGGTCCTGTGCTGGAAAAAATGCAAGGCTGCGGGGTGGAGAAAGGATTAACTTGCCCTGCATGAGAGGGGGGCTGGGGTGGCCCCTGCTTGCCAACTGCTAGAAGAGGATGAGAGCACCCAGCCAGATGCGTTCGCCAAATTGCCTTAAACTGGCCTAAAACCTCCCCATGCCAGGGTGAAGCCCATTACAAGTTGAAAGGACGTGTTGATAAAGACCCCTTAAATGCAGACCGTCTTAAATCTCATCGGGGTGTCTGAAAAGGGCACCCAGGCAAGAACAGCACGTGCTGTTTGGAAAGCCACGGGCCATCGCATGACGGATCTAAGGGCTCAGATGAAGAAGTACGAATGCGGGCAGGTAACAGTTTATTAACTAAAGGCAGAATGAGATGATTTGACTTTCGGTCTGGTCATACCACGAAGTAACTGCAGGAATTTGGTTTGATGAGCAAAGACAAGGACGGGTTGGTTGGATTGCTGGAAACCAAATCCTACCCGGGAAATGTTAGAGTAAGAGACGAAAAGCAGCTAATTAACAATGCATATCAAAGTAGGAAGACAGACTGTGAACACACAAATAGCACCAGCCAGATTTGTTTAAAACAGCTGAAGAGTAGCACAAAAAAAGCAGCTGATCAAATGTATCTGCTACCCATGATCAAAAAGATCTTATTTTTTGAAAAACTGATGAAGATTTAGGGACTGGATGTGTTGGGTAAAAGATGTACCGCAGCGGCATGGATCTCAGCATGGTACCCAAAATACACACAACACACAAAGCCTCACTGCCATCGCCAATAAAGTTCAAAGATGAGCTCACCTTCATGAGCAAAATTAGATGCTTCTGAGTGAACAAACACTGAGTCAACCTGTAATCACTGTAAATAAAAACAAAGCAATGGCAAACCTATCTAAACCAAAGGATTGAAATGAGTTTTCAGATAAAAACACCACCCTAGGAAAACAACAGAGGTCATAGCCAGACCACGTCGCTCCCATGGGATTTGGCAGAGCCCCCAGGTCCTGCTTTGCTGAATTCCCCTTGGCTAAGAGCCAATGTGGCTTCTCCGGGGACCGACTCACCACCTGGCTTGTGCTACCCACGGCTGCAGCACATCGCTCCAATATTGGAGGGGCTAGGAACATATTACACAACAGTCAGAAATTATTCAGGCACAGTTGATCTTGCTTTGGGACAAGGGGAGAGAGTAGAGAGGATTTGCAGACATCTTTTTCAGGTGAGCCTGAAAAGGTAGCCTGGGCTACCTTGTTGCTAGAGCTGGGAGTGAGCTGATGAGCATGACGAAAGACAGCATGGCCTGGCAGCTCAACCTCCACCCCCAAAAATGTAAACACCAAGTTAAAGTTACAAGTTACTCAGTTAAATGGGCTCTGACAAGATGGTTCTGCTGGACCAAAGAGAGTTCATTGCAGACATGACCCTGTGGAGGCCAATGGTTCACAGGGGACACCTTGGACAGGTAGAAGAGACTTCCACCATCATAAGCCCTTGCAGGCAGAGCTGCACCAAGCAGCACCTGGACATCAGGAACAGATCGCAGTGCAGAAAAAAATCTTTGTTAAACATCAAGCTGGCCCCGGCATCCTGATGCTTAGTGTAGACACGCTTTCAAGAGCCCCTATAAATAGTGGAAGCTGCAGGCAGGGATGGTTGAGTTAAGTGTGGTTTCAGCTGCTACCATTTTCTGAAACAAAAACCTGACATGTTCAAGAAAGAAATACAAAATGACCCCAGTTTCAACCAGCTCGGGAGAGGAGCTCTCAAAGGGCAGCACTGAAAAAGCCCCGACACTGCAGCATCGGAGCCTTCTCGAGAGCCCAGAGAAGGGCAGAAGGACTTCAACAGCCCCACCATGGTCTAAGGCTGTGTTGCACCTTGGGGAAAAAGAGATCTGCTAGGTTTCTTTGCACCAAACAGGAGAGTATGTTGGAAATGCTGTGTGTGATTTATCATAGCCAACTTTGGTATATAAGAAGAGACCCAAGACAACATGTATCCTGCCCAGGTAGGAACACTGCTGAAGGAGGAAAGGCAGAATTTCAAGTGTGAGCATGGAGAAGGCTCCCGTGGGGACATCGGGATGGAGCTGGGTCTGAAAATGGCCCCAGATGCCCCAGAGGAATAGAGCGGGTTCTGAGTACCTTTTGGGTTGGCGTTACTGAGACTAAAGCTGGGTCCAAAGCTGCGAACAGGTCTGGAGGGCTGCAGGAATGGATTTGTCCTTCCTGCCCTTGGCTTCTCTCCTGCTTGTTACCATCCATATTTTTTCCCAATTCGCCTGTAAGCAGCTTTTTCTCCTCTTTCTCTTTAGACGACAGAGCAGCTAGATCAGGAAGAAGCTAGAGAAGAGCAACGTGCATGGAAGGAGAAGTGTGAAGCTGCAGTCCCACGCCCAGAAGCAGCAGAAAAGCAGAGGAGAAGGAAGCAAATCTTCTCCACCTGTGCTTATCCATTTTTACTACCTGCCTCAATGGACAAAGTCATTTTCCCTCTTGATTTTGCAAGGTGGTGGGTCCAGCACACTGCTGGTAGCTCTGACTGAGGCACAGGCTGGCACCAAAGCCATGGGTGGCTGTGGGTGGCTGTAGGCTCTTTCCAACCCACTGTGAGACACTCCTAAACCTAATACATCCCAAAACGAGCAAGTCCCTGGCAGGGGAAATAACCCTCCCATGACCCAGTCCCCATCCCTCAGTGCCTCTTATTTGATGGGCACAGAGGAGCTGGGGACACCCCTGTCAGACACTTGTCCCTCGGGGATGAACAGGGCAGGGAGCTGTATTTCTGTCTGTATTTTCCCACCCCAGCAGTGGTACCTCGCGGTGGTTTGGGGACCCTGACCACAACACTCAGCACATCCCCAGCACGGCGTCAACTGTCTCATGAGCATCACCCTGTCCCCAGCCTGGCTCAGGGCACCCACAACGACGGCCACCCTTGTCTCCTGTGGCCAGTGCTCTGCACTGGGTTTAATTGCTAAATTGCTTTTAAAATGAAAAAAACAGAGAGGTGGTTGGAGGCAGAGCAGTGGTACTCTACCCGGGCCCCAGTTCAAAGGGACGCAGCCAGGGCCAGCCGATGCAGGCAGCACCCCGCACCCGTCATCCTCTGGCGCAGCGGCATGGCAGGGATGCCGCCAAGCCCAGCCTTTGATGATTTTCTGTTCCCACTGTGAAGACTAATGATTTCAGAGAGGGTGTCCTGCCACGCGCAGGGCCACCGCTGCCACAGATCCAGCTGCAGCACAACAAGACGAGGGGAGGAAAAAGGGGGTTGGAGGTGCCAGTGCATGTGGGGCCTCTGGTTTTGGGGGCGTCTTTGTTTTCTACACACTACCTCCAGCCATCCCTGGAAGTCCCCATCTGCACGTCAGAGACCCATGTGTGTTAAGGACCAGATGGAGCATCCCCCGAGGGCCACAGAGAAATTGGAATGTTTGGGATCCCCCACCAAATTGCTGCCAAAACATCAGAAAAATTTCCCTTTGCACTTCCAGGGGTGTAAAGCTGTGGAGCAGACGGCAACTGCTCTGTTCCCTCAGGCCACGGCATCAAAGCATCTAATTTGCCCAATTTTCAATGAGGCATCCCCATCCTGCAGCATCCCTCCTCCACCAGGGACCGCAGCCTGACCTCAGCCCTTCTCCAATGCCTTGTACACCCAAACCGGAAGCCCCACAAAGTGCAGGATGCCAAGGAGAATGCCCACGAGGGGAAGAGGAGCAGCCTCGATCTTCTCCAGGGGGTGTTTACTCTGAAACCTAACAATGGCCTCTTCTACATCATCTCTGATTATTTCAAAGAATAGAAATCCTCACCTCCCGCAGACCTGCTGCAGAGCCCAGCCGTGCACTGACCTTACAATTCACCGAGATGCCTCTAACTCTTTCACCCAAGAGGATTTGCCACAGCCCTACTATGCTGCTGTTGAAGCCCAGCAGCTCATGTGAGGATGGTCCAAGCCTGGGCACACTGTGGCAGGCGCACTCACCCCTGGTTCGTTCCCCACTCGTTCCGGATGCAGAGGTGCTTATGCACGGGGTCCTTCATGTAACCTTCGTAGCAGAGACACTCACCTACGGAGAGAGGGGGGGACATGAGGGACATGGAAGTACAAGGCTTTCCACGTGCATCCCTGCCAAACCCAGCCTGCAGCCACCTGGTGCACCCAGCAGCTCCATTCTCACACATGGAGCAAGGCAAGAAAGCATCTTCCCACCAAAGCCAGGCTGAGCAGGCAGGGGTGAACTCCCAAACCCACCCCAACCACCTGACCACTTACCAGTCTCGGGGTCGCACTGGTGCTCGCAGGGGTCAAGGAGGCGCCGGGCGCAGAGGTCCAGGGCCCAGGGCCCACTGGAGTTTTGCTGGGAGAAGAGGATGACCTGCGCCGGGTTCAGCCAGTCGCTGGCATCCAGCTGGCTCCCCTCCAGCAGGATGAACCGGCTCCCTGCCGCCAAGAGTGGAGTCAGCAGCGGCAACCCACTGCTGTCCCCTCCATCCCATAATGGTCCCCTGCATCCCGTAATGGACCCCTCCATCCCGTGATGGCTCCCTCCATCCTGTGATGGATCCCTCCATCCCATGCCCATCCCCTCCATCCCGTGCCCATCCCCTCCATCCTGTGATGGTCCCCTCCATCTCGTGATGGTCCCCTCCATCCCGTGATGGACTCCTCCATCCCCTGCCCATCCCCTCCATCCTGAGGCAGTGCCCTCTATCCTCCAACAGCTCCTTCTGTTCCACAATGAACTCCTCTGTCCCGTGCCCATCCCCTCTGCCCTGTGATGGCCCCCTCCGTCCCATGCCTGCCTTCTCCATCCCGTGAGAGCCCCCTCCATCCTGTGCCTGTCCCCTCTGTCCCACAATGGCCCTGTTGGTCCTGTGCCCATCCCCTCCATCCTGCACCCATCCCCTGTGTCCCGCCCTGGTACCCTCCATCCCACAGCTGTCCCCTCCATCCTGCATCCATCACCTCCATCTCATGACAGCCATCGCCATCCTGCACCTGTCCCCTCTGTCCTGTGCCCATCCCCTCCATCCTGCACCCATCCCCTCTGTCCTGCACTGGTACCCTCCATCCCATGCCTGTCTCCTCTGTCCTGCACCCATCCTGCATCTGTCCTCTCCATCATTCCCTCCTTCCCTCCATTACAGCTCACAGAGTGTGAGTAGGACTGTGGGGCACTCACCATCAGCGATGAGGTGCTCAGGAACATGGAGGGTGATCTTGACAACAAGGGGGCAGCTCATGTGGGAGGAGCACACCAGGCTGATGACACAGCTCATCACGCTGATGAGGGTCAGTGTGGTCTTGTTCACGGGGCTCCGGGGGGAGCCCACTGCAAAACACAAAAGCACAGTCAAACCTGAGGCCCAAGGGACCCAGGAAGATCTTGGGGTGCAGCCAGAGGATCTCAGGGTGCAGATACCCTGCCCAGCCCCCTGGAAATCCAGCGTCAATCCAATCAAGTGGAGTCACTTCGGATTTTCAAGAGCAGTCTTTGCCGCAGCAGCCTCTCTATCCTGCCTGCTGCGGCTGGGGTCTCCCTGAGCTCTCGCAGCCCAGGCTCTCCCACACCCCTGTACCATTGCACACCAAGACCTTTGCAGCAGCAGGACTTTAAAGCAGAGCAGAGATATTGAGGAGAAGAAAGGTAAATGCAATATCCTTTTTTTTTTCCCCCTCCTTCTTCTCGGCACTTCTCTTGGGTTAATTTTGCCATGACAACAGCCTCCTGGATGCCTTTGAAAAAGCACTGGAGAGCCCTAACTGCTCAGGGCATGCAGTTCTTTGACTTTTCATCTCTCAGCTGAAGAAGCTGAGCAGAAAAAGCTGGCTAGGGGCTGAACTATCCCCTGTGGAGACAAAGCCTGAACTGGCCTCCCAGCACCCAGCACGGGCGCTGGGGGCAAAGGAGATGGCTCCCAAGCCCACCACTCCCAGAAAAACAAGGCACCATCCAGAGAAGGAGGGAAAACAGAGAGAAACTTTCCTCCCCGGGGGAGAAAACCTCCCAAAGGGATGGTGCAAGGCGAGACCCCTGCCCAGGGACCAAGCCTGTCTCCATCCTCCATTGCATATACAGCTCATACGTGCATGGTGCCAGAGCGAACCTGCGGCACTGCCATGTCAAGCAGCGGCACAGGACCTCACGCGCCAGCCTTTGAAGCATGTTACTCATTAATACAGACTAAAGCCCAGCAGAAGCCTTCAGCAAAAATCAGAATATATTTCATCCTCTGCTGAGAAACTCCACTGGAGAGCAGTGGCAGCCTGCTGTGGGAGCAGGGACCGGCACCTGCCCACGGCAGCCCGGATCACGCCTGGGTTTCCATCTTTTGCCAATGGAAAGTCTCCAAGTCCAGAGAGGTGGCGGCAAACAAGGCAAGAGGGGCCACGGCTTGCTGCCCGCCTCCGCACCTGCACCCACCTCGGCTGCGCCTCCGGCTCCGCGAGGGATCCGTGTAGAAGGTCAGCTGGGGATCGGTGTCTGCCTCCGTCCCCGAGTCCCCCTCGGGGTTGAGAAATGCTGAGCCGGCTGCAGGGGACACCGAGTGTGGTCATGGCAGAGCCGGCACCACGCCACCCCAGGCAGCCACATCCTACATCACCCCTTCAGGGAGAGCCTTGCCTTGAAGACCAGGAGCCCTGTCTGCCAGGTGCAGCGGGAACAACATCTTCTCCCCTTCCCACCACACACAGCCATTCCCCCTGCCACGGCTCCCATTACCTTGCAACTTTTCCCCATGGCCATGCCGGTATCATAAAATATTTACCATGGCCAACACCCTCTGCATCTTTGCAACCAACCCACCCAACATCATCTGCATCCTTGCAGACACCGCTTTTTCTGCTTCCCCCCCACCTAAACCCTCATTTCCATGCTCTCACCCAACGCTGGCCCTATTTCTCCATCCCAGGAGAGGGTGAGTGGCTGGAGCGTGGGTAGGTGGAAGCCCAGAGCACCCTGTCTGCCCTGGGGAACCCCCCTACCTCGTGCCTTGTTGTTGATGCGCTTGCGCTGGCTGCTGGAGGTGTGGGACAGCAGCGTGGCCTGCTGGTGGTTTGAGTCCACGGGGCTGGTGGCGATGATATTGTCCTTGTACTTGTTCATCAGGGACAGCTTGGCGTTATCACTCCCTGAGCAGGAAGAATTGAAGGCAAAATCTTTCAGGGATTTAAAAAAAGGAGGGAGGTGAGAAAGAGAGTTTTCCTTGGATCCATCTCCAGCATCTGCATGAGGCAACCAGGGTGCCGTGGCCAATGGGCCGAGCTGCCCCCAGTGCACCCTCATGAGCTCCTCAAAGCCTGAAGGGGACTGGCACCTCCACCAAGCTACGCAAAAGCTGAGATTTAACATTCAGCCTCTCAGGGCACTTCTGTATACACAGGTCTGTAAGGAAAACCCCTGGAGAGCTTTAGGAACCACGCCATGGTCTTCCCAAACCATGTCTCAGTTGAGAAGGCTCCAGTCGGGTGGCTCAGTTGGTAATATGGCCAATGAACAAGGGTGTTACAAGCCTCAAAGAATCTCTGCTGGTGATCAGAAGACAGTGTTAACTCTGAATCATACTGATGGCAAGTATAATTTTGCTACTAAAATGCTCAGCTGAAGAAGACACCGGAAATCCTGGGATATAGAAGGGAATTTTAGGGGTCACCATGGGGTAGCTTGGAGGAGACACCATTCTGGTTCTCCATCAGGCCATAGGAACCTCAGCCCTTCCCCTCAAAGCTCCACCCTGCATTGTCCCAGCCACGTCCCACTCAGCAGGGACTGCTCTCAACTAGCTGCAAGGTCTCCCAGCAATGGAAGCGCCTTCAATGAGCCACAAACATCTCACACACAACAAAAACCCAGAGAAATGGGGAAAATGCTCAAGGGAAAACATGAGTATGGGAACAATGGAGAGAAGACGAGTTGGAAAAGACCCAGCTCAGTCCATGCCCCCCGTCCCATCCCCACCTGGCGTGAGGTCCATGCTGGCCTTCTCATTGCAGCCCTGCAGCGAGTCCAGGGTCCGGGTGACCTGGCTGGCAAAGTCCTCCCCGCCGTTCATGCACTCACGCTGGAGATGGTGCCGCAGGTCGGTGATGTCATATTCGTAACCATCCAGGATGGGGGTCTCGCGGATGCTGAGCGTCCCACTGGAGTTGTGGCCCTGCACGCGGGCATTGCGCAGGCTCTCCCGCCCGTGGCCCCCAATCAGCACTGAGGGGATGTAGTGGATCTCGTTGGCTGCCTCCGCGCTGGCACTCTTCTGGGGCTGTGGCACCCGGCGCCTCTTGCACCACCGCCGGCGGGTGTAGAGGATCATCACCAGGCAGAGGATGGAGAGCAGCAGGGCAATCATCCCTCCCTGCCGGCACAAACATGAGCGGGGATCAGCCAGGGACCAGCACCAGCCACCCTCCAGGGATGCAAACACACCAGGGATGCTCTGGGACGGCCAAAGCGAAGGCAACGGCAAGAGGAACCCGGTCGCACCGATAAGAGGGTGCTGGCACAGGGAGCACCTGGCGCTGGCCAAGCACTGGCCAAGTGCTTCCAGCTGAAGCCTGCCTCAAGCTGGACCGGCTTTGAAGTCTCCACTGAGGCATGAAAAAGCAGCATTTAAAGCAAAGCATGTTTTGTTTCACTCTCCCGCAACATGTCTTTGAAAGCACAGATTTATTCTAGGCTAACTCTCCTACAGGCAACTTTTTCTGACCCATTTCCAACCGGTTTCAGTGCTGTCACTCTCAATCTTGGGAGGTTTTCCCAGGGTATCCTGCAGAAATTGCAGCACAGATTAAAGGAGATCAAGGCTCAAGACAGCCAGATGACTGAAGCGTTGTTTGGGGAATGCCTGGGCAAAGAGACTGAAAAAACTCCTGCCCCATGGGGACAGACCCCGAAACTGCACCCAGCCCTGCCACCTCGCCACCGTCCCCAAGGTCACCCTCCTGCAGAGACATCGTCACTGCACACAGATAGAGGCGGCAAGATGAAAGCCCAAGCTGGCCTTTTACGCCCAGCCTAATAATAATAATAATAATAATAATAATAATAATAATAATAATAAAAGAGCGCATGGAGCCAGCTAAGAGCTCCATGTCCATCCGCGGCTCTGGTCCCCCTCCTCTTTTCTATACAATAAGTGATCTTGATAAAATAAAATAATAGTAATAATCTGCTCCATTAGTACAAAACATTAAGGGAATTATTGAATGAGAAGCAGGAGAAGCAGCTGGAAAAGGAACTCTAATGGCCATTACGGTTCAACCCTCTTTCACTCCCAGGATAATGGAGCTGTCATGCACCCTCCCAGCCCTCCTTCCAAACTTTCTTTCAAAAAAAAGAAAGAAAAAACAAAGAAACTCCAGTGATTAAGGAGTCAAGCAGTCCAGCGGAAGAGGGGGGGCTGGCTGGCACACAGCATCTCTCCAGCCAGGAGCCTGCAGCTGGGAGGACGGGAAATCTCTTGCTGGGGCTGAAAACTGGCACTGGAATCCTGCCTGGCCATGCTCATCCTGAGTTTTTTAGTGGTAAAGGCAGGGCCCAATTCTCTATCACATTCAAACCCCTTTGAGTTCCTCTGATCCATAAATAAGTGGGGGCTATCCCCATCCCCACCGGAGATGGTCTCCCACATCACAGCTCTCCATCACCCCAGAGAAGGGTTCACCCACAGATGGGGTGACAAGCAGATGGGAGTAATACCAGGGCATTCCTGGCTTTCCTTTGCTGTCCTCTATATGCACATTACATCTCCCAAACACCAGAGAGCTCTGCCATACACCTGTGCTGGTAAACAATGGAGACCAAGCAGGAGCTCAAGTCAGGTGGACGCCCATTTGTTTAGGACTGCGGCTGTGGGTTCTCAAAAAAGAGCTGTTATTTAATTGAAACTGAATTTCTTCTGCCCTGATAGTCTGAGAGCTCAACCTATCCCTGAGAAAGAGCAGCCTGTGGCCACTTGAGATGTCAAGAGGCTCCAAAGGGTGGAAGAAAACCAGCACTAAGTCTTCTCCACCCTGTGCTAGCTGGAGGGGGTCAGGGCACCACCTCAGACCCACAGTTCCTCTCCATGGGAGCACAGAAATCCCATTCTGCCTTCATCCCCCCCACCCGGCACTCGTACGATGGCTGTGAGAGGAGCCCTGTGCTGGGCAGGCAGAGGAGCGCTTCTCACACGGTCCACGTGCAGTCCGCTGTCATGATGGATGCAGCCCCTCACTCACACTTCTTCTCTTAGCAACCACATGGGAAAGAAAGAAAACCAGCCTTTAAAATTCCATGTGATCCTGACTCCTGGCAAAAAAGCCAGCCTCTATTTGTCAAGGCGTAAGGATGCCACCAGCGCGGAGCTGAGAGTGATGGGGAAAAAGGGGGAGAGGGAGGATTCAATCTGTATTTACACATTTTGGTACAAGAGTGATGAGTTGCAGACATCGTTTTCATTAGCTCGATAATAAGCCTTGTTTCAGGCACTCCTGTCTCCATCTTGTTATTCAGTGGTGCCCATGAAAACCAAGACCCAGTGGCAGAGCGGCACCAGCCTCTCCTGAGGTGATGCACCCTTTCAGGAGCAGCTGGAAACGGACAATAAAGAAAAGGAAATGGTCCAAAATGTTTTTTGGGCGTGGCTTTGCCAGTGATTTCTTTTTTTTTTTCCTCGAGACTAATCAAGCACAAATGATGGAGGAGAAACCTGGCCTGGGGCTGCAATCTGGAAGAGCTATTGACACTCTCATTAGGGTAGGCACCATTAAACAGCCTGTTTGCAGCCTCGGCAACACATTGTCTCTGGCTAATTATCTTCCAGTGGCACAAAAATTGTCAGATTCTTCAGATTTTTTCCAACATAAGAAAAAAACAAAACCAACAAACCACAGATCCACCTCCAACACGCAGATCTCTGTCTCACCCTCCTTTCCCTGACATCAAAACCTTGTCCCCGTGTTTCTGTAGGGAGGAGGAGAGCTGTGCAGTCTCTGTTCATGGGATGCTCTTGCCTACTGCACGCTGCGAAATCACAGCCATGGGGCTGCCGTGCTGATAAAAGCAGCAGTGACAGTGCCTGGTGGCACCATGATACCCACCACATGCCAGAGCAGCGGGCGCTGGGCACCATCCACCGGGCAAAGGACCCTTGACAAAGTCAATGTGAATTAACCCTGGGTTAACGTGGTTGAGACCTTCAAAGCCCAGCACTGCCCAGGGATAAAGGCACCCCTGCAAACATATTTGCAAAGCAATGCAAACTAAGGGAGAGGTTTAAAGCAGCCCAGTGTTAAAGCACCCTGCACGCAACATTGTCTGGAGAGGTGCCCAGGGCACCTTAACCAGCCCCTGAAGGTGGGCTCAGCTCCCCATCCTAGGACAGCTGGAGCCAGATGGGGAAATATATGGCTTTTCAAGAGCCCCTATATTTTCTACAGGTTTCTGAACACCTAAACAGGGCCTGCCTTCCCATCACATACCATGACGGAGATGTGGAGGATTCTCAGCTCTTCCTCTGCCGACTCAGTCTGGGGCTCATCCGTGGGGTCAAAGCCAGGCAGGTTGGGGGCCCCGTCTTGGTGGTGGATGTGGAAGAGCAACGTTCCATTCTCCAGCCACTGCTGCCGCCAGCGCACCAGCGGGATGTCGTCTGTGTTGCCCGAGATCTCTGCAAAAGCAAAGCTGGTCACGTGAGAAACACGGCAGAGGAGAGAAGTGATGGAGGACATTCACCTCTTCCCAAAAAATGGGTGGAGGGACCAAGGGACACACACAGCAGGCTCCCTCTGGCCATCTCCTGCCAGCACCATGGGCACCCCTATACGACCCACAACCTGAAAGGTTAAAGTGGGGCAAAATCATATTTCTGGGTAAAATCCAGCTGTGGGCCCCTCCAAAAATCCAGATGTGGTGCAGGGACAGAACACTTACAGCATCTCAGGGCCAGAGCCAGGGAGCCTGGCAGCATCCTTCCAGCCCTAATTCAGCCACGTTTCACCCACGTGCTTCATGTTAAACACAGCTCCAGCCGTGGGAAGCGGAGGATATAGGATACCTTCTCAGCGGCACTAATGGGATCATTGGGATCATGGCACAAAATTATTGCAAAGAGATATTTCCCCATCCTTCATGAATGAAGAAATGTGCACGTGGCTGCAATCACACCTGCAGTTCTGGCTCTGACTGAGGTGCATTCAGAGGCTTTCAGCCTTCAACCACTTTCTGCAGCTTCCCACACAGGACACAGCCCTGAGATCTGCAGATGTACCCGCACCTTCTGCCCAAACACCCCGACTTTCCTCAAGTACCTTTAGGGTTTGGGGGCACTGGGACAGATGGACAGAGCTGGGATGAGGAGCAACAGCAGCAGAGGACACCCAAGCAGGAGGAGCAGCTGACGACGGGAACACGACACATGCCACAAGACACTAAATGTCGAATCAAACCATATTCACCTGGCTGACTCCAAAATTTCAGGGACATCCCATGGCTGGAGCTTAGCAAAAGGGGGGTTGACACCAGCACATCCCTAGGAGAGATGGGCACTGTTTTAACCAGCACCTCCATCTCAGACCAGATCACCTTGATCACCATCTCAGATCACCTTGATCTCAGCCATCAGCTCGAGCCTGCCATTTTCCCATTAGTTATTTTTCCTGAAAATATAAGCTTCAATTGCATTTGTTGGAATGACCATTAACAATGTGATGAGCTTCCCAGCGAGACACAGCTTTCCCTCCTGTCTCTGCCGCACGGGAATGGTCCAGCCAGACCCGTCCACTCCATCCTTTTTGTAGCCATGCGTTTTGATGGCAATGGGAAAGAGCCCGGCTCACTTTGCAAGTTGTCATCTTTATTTTGCTTGTTTCATGCTGCCTTCAAATGAAAACTGGAATTCAATTACAGTACTGAAAAACAACATTTTAAATTTACCGTTAATTAATTTCATTAGGCTGCCTTAAGTGAGCTAGCTACCGGGGAGGGGAGGAAAAATCTGCATCAGGAACCAGGTTCATCCTCCCAAACTGATTTGATTAATTAAAAGAAACATTAGCCACAGCGAGTGAATTGGCAGATTGTTTCTGCTCAGCACGGACCATATTTCTGGCGGTAATCAGTGCACTTCGAGTGTCCCAAGCAGAGAGATGCTGAGCTCTCCTTGATGCCACCGGGAAGCAAAACTGAGAGGAGTTAAAGCATCTAGGAAGCCAGAAGCACTTTTCAAATTCCCTCTAACTGCTGAGCTGCGTGTTTAGGCACACAGATCCCCTTTGAAAAGCTGGTCCTGGGAGCCGGGAGGGTTTGCAAAAGCAGATCTCTTCCTCTCCCACCTGGTCTTTATTCATGGGCTGAAAGGGGAAAACAAGCTTTCCTGCTTCCCCAGCTCCCCACGGCTTCTCAACTTCAAATGAACTAGCTCAAATGGAAGAAAATATTCTCCCCGCACCTGCCTGCTAACGTGAAATTAGGAGTAATTAAGGCAAGAGTTTTTATGCACAACAAGAACTCAACGTACTGACATTTGGAAAAACGTAAATACCAGCATTTGCTCCATTGTAAAGAGTGAAAATAATAGATACTAAGTATATGACATTGTGACATTTAGAAAGCTAGAGTTAAAGATGTTTTCCCCCTGATCTGACATATCGTTGAAAAAGCAGCACCCTTCAGCTCATTAATATTTGAGGAGGACTCCTTGATGGAAGTTATTTAAATGATTAATAGATTATAGTAAATTTAAGCCTTAAAATAGGTTGTCATAATTTCAAATTTATTTAAACAGGCTTATTTTTAAAAAGAAAAATGTATTTCAATAAAAAATGGATTCTTGTTTTAAAAGAGCACAATCCAGCCACAGAGCCTGAGTGCATTATCCTCTCCCACCAGACATCATGACATGGCCCTGCGGCTGCATCACACACAAGTCAGAAGTGCTAGAAACAGAGGAAAACACCCCAGAAATCAACCACCATCACCCCAAACTGGCAGGCTATGACCCCTCCATCACACCGCAGGACAAGGCTGCTCCACCATCTCTGCTCTTGCCCTGGGCAAAGGCTCTTGAGGCAGTGCATGGATGAGTGAGCTTCATCCTTGGACCTCTTCCTCCTCCTCTCCTCAAGGGTCTTAGCAACATGCCAGCTGCCCCTATCCCACTCCATTTCTACTTCAAAAAATTATACATATAAATGCTTTCCTGCACCCATGAAGTTCTCCTGGAGTTTAGTTCAAGCAAGACCAAGACCAAGACAAGATGAAGACCAAGACGAAGACAAAGACCAAGACCAAGCTTCCTTCCTAACACAGCATCTCTTTGCTCTCTCTTCTCCCAGTCCAATGCATTCCACTTTTATCTTTGTCTTGCTCTCCAAGCAGATCTTTCATCACCTGGTGAGAGATGCTACAGTGACCCATGTAGCGAACTGGAGCCATTTATCTGGATGCCACAGGGGCTCAGCTCTGCCATGGGGCTGGCAGGTGCCAACCCTGCCGGCCAGCTTGTACCATGGGGCCAAGAGACCCCAGAGGAGGTGGGAAAGTGGGCAGAAAGCCAAAAAAAAAAGGCAGGGGAGAGAGGATAATTTCAAGTTCAAAGTTTGAAAGATATTGATGATAGGCCTGGTCTCTGCATGGCTTTCATTAAGGCCTTGGATATGAAGCCATTAGCACTAGTATTAACTTCTTGCACCTCTGTTAAAAAATAGCCTGCCTGAGTCAGGGGTTAATAACAGTAGGAGACCACTAATTAGGCTGCGCTGTGTTCACCTGATATCAAATGTGGCCCAGGTCCTTCATATCTACAGGAGCAGCAGCCTCCAAAGACCCCGCCTGATGCTTTCAACATAACGGCCACGGCTGCTCCCCTCCCAGCCCATCTGCGAGGGGAGGGAGGGGGGAAGGAAAGGTTGTAGAGGAGCAAACTGAGGAGAGGACAAAAGTCCAGATGAAGTTGCCGGAGGTGGGTGGATTTATATCTGCTTCATTATTGATCATCCCAAATAACCTCATTTCCCTAAGGACAGCTGTCCCACCCAAAGCAAACCCAGTCCTTCTGGAGGCAACACCTCTGCATCTCCCAATTTTGGGAGGCAACACATCTGTCGCAGCCCAATTCTGCACCCGAGTTGATGCAATGTTGAAACCATGGCCCCTGAGTCCAACGCTGACACGGACCCATTCCCGCATCCTCGTCCCCCGCCAAGACCTGGCATCGTGGCACACAAAGAGAGCAATTCTCCTTAAAAACGCACACCAGCATTTTGATGAAAAAAAAACCGGCAACATGATTTTCCTTTCCATTTGGAAGCATTTTGCACTAATAGACGCCTCCGATTAGTCAAATGAACTCTGCCATAATGCCAGTCTCTGCAGACTCATTTCATACAGCAGAGCGCAAATTTTGACTTGGACTCATATTTCCTCGTTAACATTTAAACCTGGCTTATTTTCCATCCGGAACCTGACTGTGTTTTTATTTAAATTCCCCATTAGCTAAGGCTTTTGCTCCGTGTCTAAACCTCACACATCCTTTAAAGGGCTTTAACTCAGCTAAAGCAATCCCTGCCCTTGCAGTCCTCCAAGGGTCTCCAAAGTCTGAAGTAACTCAGGACGCGAGACCTTCCCACCATGAGCCACTTGCACTCTTGTTGGGACCTCAGGCCTTGATTCCTATCAATTCAGATGTCAAATGCATATCCTGATATTTAACTCATTTTTACTTCCAAGGTTTTAATGACACATCTTTCATGGGATAATATTCATGTTTTTATGGGCCCACTTAAAAAAATCATATTCAACACCGACTATCTGTACTTTATTTGCATTTTTTTTTCCTGTCTCCAACCTCAGGTAAGAAAACCAGCTCATTCTGTAGGTTATTCTGTCTTTTCAAGACAATCCAGCTTTTCCATACCAGCAAACACAAACCTCACTTTATCTATTAGGAACCTGCTTTATGGGACAGGGCACCTTGGGCAAAATTTCCAAAAGATCCATAGACATGGGAGAACCTAAAGGCTCAAGGAAAAGGCACCTGCTGTATCGGGAGCCACTCTCTGGCTAGGTCAGAGAGATCACCCCACCACGACGTCTGCACGTGGGGCTGGTACACGTGAAGCCATTAGCTGTCGTAGCAAGGCTGACAGCTAACCAGGTTTCTCCTTGAAACATAGGGTGCCTTTGCTTTTGGGAAGGTCATCAATGAGTTACATTTCAAAGCTGTAGCCACACTTTAGCCTTGAACTGGGATTTTTGTCCCGAATATGCCACAGCCCTAATTCGTCCCTTTCTTTAACAACAAAACCCTCCATCACTCTGGGAGTGACATTGCACTGCGCGGCCATTTGCAGAGTGAAGGACACTGATTCATCATTAATGTGTCTGAGTCAACCGGGTTTGCTCTGCAGCTGCTGACCTTACAACGCGACATGCCCCATTGCCCCGCACTTCCCTGTGGACCCAAGGACATGCCCAACCACACCTGTGTGACATCACCTCCGAGGTTATTTTTCCACCGCATTTGTCAATTTTGACCAAAAACTAGGAAAAACTTTGCTAATGCACGTGGGTGCAATGAGCAGGCTGGGACATTCGCTGGTGTTTGATTTTCACTCCTGTTTTGTTAGTTTGGTCCCTTCTGCCGAACCATGAACTACAGAGGAGATGTGG